CAGCAGGATAGAAACTCTGTGCCTAATTCTTCTTAGTTAAATGCCAAAGAAATAAGATTCTGCTTTTTTAGCTTCTTACACAGTTCTGCAGTTGTGCTGAGGGGTTGTGTGAAAGTTCATGAATGTGGGCTGTTCTTTACGCATAAATGGAATGTTGTTCAATTTCATTTTTCTGAATATGTGTTACTTTTATGTTTGCCACAAAAAGGGCTATTCAGCAGTACAACTTGCAAAACTTGGTTGTCTTCCTCTTGATATTTAGTCAGATTATTAAATAAATTCTATTTGAAGGAAAACCATTTGAAATTCTGTCTGTAGATACACAGCTATAGGCTGTTGATGCGTGAGCCAGTATGTCCATAATTTCACTTCCATCCCATTTGTGCTTTTAAATCTAAGTTGGAATAAAAATTAGTTTGCTTATTAAAAGAAAATATTTGAGCAATCCTCACAAGTTGAATTTTTGACTACAGGGCTGTCTCAGGATATGTTTGAATCAAGTTTAAAAAAAAATAATTCAGAGTATTCCAAGAAATATATTAGCTCCAGGGATCCAACAAAGTCTGTCAGAAGTAGGTGTTCACCCATCCTCCTAGAAAATTAATATTGGGGATTAACTTAATTTTGGGAATGGGATATGTGATATGGTTGTTGGGATGTAGGAACCGGAATGTGGGAATTAGAGATTTAGAGTGATTTACTTAGATTAGTCCAACTGTATTGTACCTTTGTTCACCTGTCTGTAGAATGGGATCATACCTAGATGCTTCACAGAAGTGTTAAAATATTTTTTAATAGGTTCACAATTAGGTATTAAGGTTAACATCGCATAACTCTGAATCCAAGTTCTCACCTAAATGTCATAGGCTATTGGATGAGAGTTACAATCTCTGGAGACTGAAGAATTAAGTATAAGCTTTTCAGCCCTTCAAAGACTATAACAAACTCGATAGTATGAGCAAGAGATTGGGATGCTACCTGGTGCAGAGCACCCACAGTGTCAAGAAATGGATGAGGCTGTTGAACACACAGACTCTTAACCGGTTGGCTCTGCCCTCTGCTGCAGCAGAAATGATGTAAACCTTTGGAATAATTTCCTAGCCTGGCAATCACAAATCTGGCAGTCTGTGGAATGATGAGCTTGAGAATCAATGTCATATCTAAGAAACAGAACTCTACATCAGATCTGAAAATGGTTCTTTTATTTAAGAATTACTTTGCAGTCTTGTATAGAATCTTTGTTAGCCTTTGTGATAGTATGTGATTGTTGTGATTATCTTTTTCTTGCCCCCCCCCCCCCAAGATTTCAATTTTTATGGTAGTAATTATTTGCATTTCATAGGTTGATTCACCTGTCAGTTCGGCTGGTGGTCATCATAGAGGCAATCTAGAAGACTGCTGTCCAGAAGAAAACAAAGGTGATGAGAGAGAGAAATCGGATGTCAAGGAAGTAAGAACAGATCAGCAAACCACAGTAGAAAGTACGATCTTTGTTCTTCAGAAGTGTATACTGAATCCCAGCGAGTTGTCAGGTGTGGGAATGACTACCACTTTCTTCTGTTGTGGCTAGACCAAATATCATGTTTGTATAGTTTGGGTAAAATTCTGTTGGTGGAGAGACAAGAGGATTAAAATAGAAGAGAAGGAGGTGTCAAAATTCATACCTTCACTTCTTTTCACTCTTTTAAATCCATCTTTGAAAGAAATGTGTTATCGCTGCCATTACCACTACAGCATATGTTTTGTGGCATCTAAGATTTGACCTGCACCTTGATGATGGTCTAAAGGATAAGGAGAAACCATCTGCATGTGTTCCATGGAACCATGTTAGAAAGTGTTGTCAGTAAGGTGTTTTTATCAAACTTTTCACAGAGTTCATGATCATTTGTGAGAAACTTTGTACCCTAATAATGGTCCACCTGTCCAAAAAATTGGAAATTATGGTTGTAAGTTATCGTATTTAACAACTGGACAATGCTGATACTAATAACATACTTTAAATATAAATACGCAACATCTCATTTTAATGAAAGCACTTGTAGAAGTCCTTCAGATGGCATTCTTTTGGCTTTCTAAAAATGGTAATAAATTAATGTTCTAGAGCTTCTGACTATTTAAAAATAGAGAAGCAAAGGCCAGTATGTGAAGCAGAAAGTTTGGATACCTTCTTCAAGTTTAGACAAGATTTCGTGACAGAATTGGGGTCAAAAGAAATCCCTTGATTCCTGCTCCTGTGTTTAACACGAGTCCTGGTGTACTAGTACATATAATTTTTTAATCAGTAATCCACTGCAGAGGCTCTGTGATGATTCCTAACTGACAAAAGTGTGTTTTGGTCTTTTAATTGTATACATTTCAAACAGTATCTTAAAAAGTTTATTTCGCATCTGTCTTATTGTGAAAGGCTTTTTCCTGTGTTTTTCAGGATGTATGTCTAATTCAGATTCTGGAGATGATAGCACTGAAACACAGACTTTGAGATTCTGTGAACCTTCACAAGGAAAACAAAGCAATCCAAAAGCAGGTATTAATTTTCAGGTGTATAAAGTGAACAGTGCAATAAACCTTTTTTTTTTCCCCTTTCCATTTCCTGTTGATGCTTCTAGGACAGTTTGGGACCGTAGTGTATTTGTGTGTATATTATAGAGTTATAAAGAAATATCACAAATTGAAAATGTATATACATCATGATATTCAAGACGTATTGGATGAAGATTATTTTCTTAAAGAATACTAACTTTCTTTAATGATATGATAGTATTTGAGTTTTACATAGATTCAGTCACTCTAATAAGGCAGAATCCAGTGGTGTTTCTATATAGTGCAGCAGTGCTGATCATCTAAAAGAATATTAATTTCTTCAGAACAGAAATCAGATAGAACTCAACTTCAAAGCTTCACTCGGCAGTTTTATGTACAAATCATCTGCTCGGTTCAGGCCAGTTGGAATAAGCGCTATTTTTTTAATCTTCTGTCCTTGGGGCTCACCTGTGGCCCAGTTAGGTTTTTATACCTCTCCCCTTGCTGTATCACTCATCTCTTTTTATGGCATAACGTAAACCAGCGCATCACAGTAAATGCTTGGGATCAACGGGCATGTAAAGCGTTTGACCTCAAAAGATTAGAAAATGAAAAAGTTTTTCAGGACTCCAAAACTTGGAAGTCTGTGGGATAGGGACAGTGCTTCAAGTGTTTCCTCTACTCTTGCTGTGGAAGCTGGCCAGAAAAGAGGGCAGAGTATGAGGCTGCTATAGGAAGGGGAAAAACTAAAAGTGACCAGAAATTGTAATCTGCATGTCTAGGAAAAAAAGAGACAATAGAGAAATCTATTTTAATTAAATAATGGTAGTTTCCATAACGTTTCACCATTTCTGTTTTTCAAAACAACGTTTTTCTAGAACCAGTATCAGAATTTGATTTCACTAAGATATAAGTCAAGACTGAAAAGTCTATAACATGTAAAAGTAGAGATATTACCATCTATCTTTAACCCCAGAATTTTTCATTTTAATGAGTGACATTTCAATATGTATTCTGCTTGTCAGGCTGAAGAAATTACTTTTGATTTTTAAGCTTATTTTGTCTGTGATTTTTGCTGGTGCTGTGGAGATGTTGTTACTCTTCCATTATAAATTTGAATTGAATCACTTGCCCGAAATGGGGGAGCTCTTCCTCCCCCACACTCCTGTATCCAACTGCTATATCTTTTGATTCAGCATTTTTGATTCAGTTTGATTCAGTGTTCTGTTACAAAGACCTTTATATTTTTCCCTGCTACTAAAAGGTTTAGAAATGAACATGATATATATGCTTGAGAATAATTGTACTCTGTCTATGGTTGTTATCAAATTATTTGTACTGCTTTTTTTTTTTTTTTAGGTTGAAATGCTTCAAGCTAACATTAATTTTAAATGTATTCTACAGCAAACTCTTCCAGCTTGGAATATTCTGAAGAAACAGATGTAGATCCTCAGATTCAAGCAGCTATAAAGAAAATGAATAAACTTGACATGATACTGGCAAAAAAACGTTTTAAAGAGAGAGCAATTAAAAAACAAGGCAAAGAAATGAGGGCAAAGCTCTGGGAAGAACTTCAGGTTAGAAGTGTTCTGCTTATTTTGTAAATAGTATATTTTACAGTACCGTCTTACAAAATTATCATTCACAGATGCATTGTTTTATTAAATAACTTACAGTTGGCTGATTAAAGTGAGGAAATGGATCTTAAAAAGTAACTTTCAATAGGTTTTCGTATATATTGGCTAGGCAGGCTTTTAAAGAAGGCTGTCATCTTTAAAAAATGTTATGACCTATAGCCAAATATATAGCTGTCTAGGTGCGGTTCATGAGCATAGTTTTATGCTTGAGCTCGCTACTTGCAGGTGTGATAAGGCGTGACAAGAGGTAATGTCTGTGAACCCAGACCTACAAGTGTTTATTCTGCTCTAGTGTGACCCTTCTTAGGCCCATCTCTTTCAGTACTGTCTATTATTGAAGAAATTAAAGATGCCCCCTGAAGAAGGCATAAGAACGCTACAGCACAAATTCTTTCACATTATTCCTATGCTGGTCTGTAGCAGTTAAATGTCACTTTAAGCTTTGAAACATGAGAGTTAGTATTTCCTTTGAGGTTAAGTGTTGTATAATTTCATGAATACAAATGTCAGTTGCTAAAAAGACATGATTGCAGTTGGTTTGACTGCATCTCGTAATTTCAATGGATTTGGATTTAGAGCCATGTGTGCATTACAGAACTTGTTTGTCTTGTGAAATGTGTCTCCGTGTAAAAGACAATATATAGCAGAGGCTTTAAAGTTCCACCACGCCTTTATCATAACTTTAGGAGACGTTCAGATAGTCTCAAGAAGAAAATAAAGCGGTGAGTAAATGTCGCCACTGAGGAAGGAATTTTTAATAGGGTCTGAAGTTCATTTGACCTGGTAAGTAAACAACATATTTAGCTTTCAAGTATTTACTTTAAAATAAATATATGCATGTATCTGTATATTTATGCTTTATTTCTTTTGGATAGTCTATCAGAACCTCTGGAAGCCGTGAGGAGATGGAAAACACAAAACTTTTTTTAGCTTTGATCTCATCATGGCAGTTTACAGCTGGTAGGTAAGAAAGAGAAGTAAATACCCTGATAGAATCATCCTGCATTTTGATTAATAATCATATTTTTGTTGGATACTATAAAAATAAAGCTTTCAAACCTTTACAATAAAATATTTGCATGTAAAAGTATATGAAGGAAATATTTGAAAAATTAACTGAAATAATTTTTGTATAATCACAAATGTAGAAGTTATACTTTAACATTAATTTTGTTTATAGAAACTGCATTTTTTCAATGAACTGGCTGCTCTAGAAGAGTAGAAATCCATGATCAGCAAAGCTTGCATTTTTCAGGTTGATGGCAAATACAGATGATTTCAGAAAGGATGCATGACTGATAACACTGGTAAATTAAATAATGATAGCAGGTATAGGGAAAACGAAGAGTGGAAACCTGCTGAAACACTTGGATGCCTTTATGATTTTGGAACATCTGGGCAATAAGCAAGGAATTCAAAATTGCTTTGGTAAACAAACAAAATGATGAAGTTACTGATGTCCGGTGCGCTTACTGGGAGAGTTTGCCAGGCTGGAGTACTTGGTGTGGGAAGGGCGGGCAGTTAAAAAATACTAGGCCTAAAATGTTACTTAGAAGCTCATTTTGGTGTGGGAGTGGGAGAGAGAATGAGAAGGAAGCAATGGCAGTGCCATGGTTAAGGATCTTCATAATATGAAAGGTCTGGAGGGAGGGAAATCCCGAGCCTTGTTAGGAATTGTTACCAGAAGAACCAGAAGAATGGGACCAAATTATGATACTGAGTTATATGTTGGAAAACAATACAGGAAGACGCATGCACAGCCCAGGTCCTGGAACATGGTCCAAAAGGGTCATTTACATTAAATTTGGTACTGATTATGTTAAATTCTTTTAGAAGCTAATTAAATTTAAGATTCTGAATGTGAGAGAGAATTTGAGTGAAAGTTATCATCATATAATACAGAATGTGATTCTAAGGAAAAGGTATGAATATTAAAACATGAACTTAATTTTTTTTAATTGCCTTTTTTCCTGAGATTTCTATGGAAAAAAGTTTAGGATAGATGGCAGTTTTAAAAAGTGAAACTATGTTAAAGACATGCTAGCAGACTATTCTCAGGAAGAAAAGACCAGGAAGTCCGATAAGATCATTTCTGAGTTTCATGATGATATGACAATGAAGACAAAAATACTCGAAGTGGAAGTGAACATGCTGATAGGAATAAACATTTGCATTTTAGTCTTTTAGTAAAAATCTCTTCCATCTTCAGTAGCATCTAAAACACCAGATTCTATAGCTGTATTAATAGTAGACAAATGGCTAATGAAGGACTGAGTTCTTTAACAGGAAACGTGAACAAATAGTTAATGACACAGAGAAATGTGGAACATGATACATAACCAAAAAAAAGACTATGATCAAAATTACAGTGAATAACAGTAACGTAAAACTGTAAGTAGAAAAGGGAAAGAAAAGTTAAAAAACTATTGAGAAATGTTTTCTGTACTGAGTCAGAAGGACACAATTCTCTTGGAGTTCTAAAGCAAGTGGTTGATGCATGTTCTGAAGTATTGGTAGTTTTCTTCAAGGACGCACAGAGGATGTGCATGCTTGCAGGGACCTGGAAAAAAAAAATTGGGTATTTTAAAATGTTCTTTTTCTTTCTGTGGCTAGACTCTTGCTGAGGAAGACACTGGAACAAACTGTAGGCATTCTGCTCACAGTGTCTTTATTGGGAGGGGCAGGGGGAACAAACCAGGCGGAATTTGTCAAGAATGTACCATGTCAAAACTGCTCGAGAGTGGTTTTAAAACATTAGCTGTTTGAATACTCTTTCTCGGTGCTGGAGTTCTCAGAGATGTCTTAATCATATGCACATTTTGCATCCTGTCCTTCAACTGTATAGATTGGTCGAAAGGGTTTCTTGCTTGAAAGGAAACAGAATTGTGGTGCATTTTGTCTTTTTTCTTGTTGAGGAGAGAACAAGGATTGGAGGTCTGAATGGTTATTGCTGAGCAAAAACCTCAGCTTGAACATTGGAAGTATGTGCATAATAACGGTAGCAATGTGTGGTTAAAACGTATCAACAAAGCTTATTATTACAAGGTAACCTGCTTTTATTTCTGTGCTAAAATTTGGGTTATTAAGGGAAGAACACAGAATTTGATATGGGTGATATTTAAAAAGTATCCAGTAGATGTCAGGATATAGTAAAAAACCAGTAGGCAAGCAAGACTATATGGTTGTTAATGAACTCCATGCTTCAATTTCTCTTCTATTTCAAAGGTAACTCCTTGCTGTAGAGATCATGTGCATCATACCGGTTCAGACATACTGTACTGGCAAAACTCTGCACAGTTAACATTTATATTTTTCCTCCAGCTTGATCTTTATCTTGAATTTTCTGTGATATGCTAGTGCCTTACTTTTCAGGTCTTATTTATTTACTTATTTAAATGAGTGCCCCAATAGCTTCCCAGGGTTAATAATGAAATGGAATGCAATTCATATATTTTGCTTTTCGGAGCTTGAATTTGATGAAGAGCTGTATTAAATAAACTGTATAGGCGAGCTATTTAATTATAGCTTTTAATGTGTCTGTGAAATCAAACATTATGATTACAAAATCATATGATTACAAACATTATGATTACAAAATCATAACTAACTCATGTGTCCCAGCACTCAGGCACAAAAAGCCCCTCTGACACACTCATGGCAGAAATGTAACTCAGGAGTTAATTAGAAGCCCTTAAATCCATTCCCCTGTGCTCTGTGTAACAAAATCATACTTTCAGTTGAGTCCATTAAACTTCATTACTACAGGACGTTGGTTGTTTTTTTATTTGTGAAAAACATTTTTCACATGTGATATATATGGTTCTTGCAATGCGAGTCGTTTTCTCTAAGTGCTAAGCATACAGACTGCATGTTAATGCTCTAACTTATACTTCCAGTTGATATATGTCAATACCATGACTGAGGTTTTTTCTTGGAGTAAGTGAAACAACTCTTGCGTGCTGGGATGTTTGAACACTTTTTTTCTAGACTATACCCTTGACTTAAGCCACTTGGAAGTCTAATAATTCATGCACAGGCAGACACCAGCTGTGAAAACCTGGACACTTTATTCTCATTCAGAGTTCTAGATGAATTGCCACATGGTGTCTGCAGAGGCTTTTGAACTTTAAGGCCTTGGGCTGTATCTTCTAGAATGCAATTATTTGTCCTGTGTAGGCAGTAGTGTTAAAAACAAGCACAGCCATATGAAACAGCATAATTATTCATGGGACACACCGTACACTTTTCCTCCTTCTTTATTTCTTGAGAAATATTGTGCTTATGTAATTTATCCAAATAAATTTCTCTGACTTTCATGTGTGAGATCTTATAGTACAATACACATAAAACTAGATCTTCTTTAAATTCAGTTCAGTTAAATTTTACTGAAAAAATTCCTTGCAGATCCCTCCCATGCTAAAGAAGATGAATTCTGTACTTCAGTATTTCACACACAAATTAATCCAGATGATTATGATTGCCATGAAACCCAACATAACCAGGGTAAGCTTTATTAATTGTATAGTTTTTGTTTCTAGATATGGCAAAACAACGTGTACAATCCGTCAGTAATGAAGTTGTGGCCTTTGTTGCTAGGCAAATGAAATCAGAAAAAGCAAGGTTGCTTACTGGAACGGCGACAGTTCTTATCTTTTTACAAATGACAAAAGAGAATAATTTAGTTTGTGACTTATCAAAAACATTTTACGCAACATGCTAAGAAGATTTTTACTTTTGCGTTTATAAAATTTTCTCTTTCATTGCAAAACAATGAGATGTGTAACAGATTAATTGTAAAATGTATCATTAGTTCTTTATGGAAATTCTTTAAAAACTTGGTTTTGCTGTTATTCTAGGGTACTGTAACTTTCATTAATAGGCTTATATTCAAGAAACCATCTAAAAATGAAGAGTGGTGCTGTATACAGTTGAAACTGTTCTGTAATTTTTTTGTTTCTGGGGGAAATTGTATGGATGTGACAAACCTAAATCTCCAGATAACTCATTTTATATTTTGTTACGCTGACTGCTGTAAGGGAGCATTGCTTTTCTGAATTAAGTACTTTCTGGCAAAAATCAAACATCTGTGCTGATTTTTTTAGACATCACTTGTTTACATGCACTGTATAGAAGTTTCAAATGCTGGTAGTAGTGTAGTGTGTCCAACACTTGAAAATAAATGGTACTGTGCTTTTGTGCCTCTGTTCTTTCTCCATTTGAAATTCAAATTTGTATGGTTGAGTAACTTCTCACATGTGTTGTGACATAAGAAGAATAGCTTCAGCTGCCATTGCTATCAGCTGCAATTGTTTATTTCTTTGTCATCTACCTTTTTTTTCCTGCTGACTGGCTAAGATGACAAGGACATAATGAATGGGTATTCCTCAAGGTTGAAGCATTGATGGCAGCAGAATCTCTGCACTTTTTAGAATGTGATTGCATGTTGTAATTTTTAAACCTGGACGTCAGCTCCCATATCATTTTGTCACTTGTCTTAGTCCACCAGTATCTGACCTTAACTTTGTGTTATTAAGTATTCCTTCACACTGGGTTGGAGCAGTGCTGTGGTTTTGATTTCTCTGTCTTCCTACCATGTGTCTTCATTCCTCCCCTAAAGTGAAGCTTGACCCTCAGCTTCTACCTTCACAATTTCTTGTGCTGGAGTGTCCTTGAATAACAATGTCAGGTTTCATTACCAGTATTCAGGACAGCAATGACTTCTGAAGCTCCCAGTACAGGCATGGTTAGGAGTTGCTGTTGCTTGCACTATGTTGAGATGTTCTACGTTCTCCTGGTTTGGGAACACGTGAAATAGAGATCACTTACAACTTAGGTACAATAAATTACTTAAATGACTTTTACTATTTCTGCTGGAGGCTTTTGATATGGTTTCTGAATGGCTAAGACTTACTGTTTCGGTTGCTTTGGGATTTCTGTGAAACAGTTGTCATAAGAGCAGACGCTGAACAAGAGGAGCTTAACTTGTGAAGAAGAATGTATGTATTAGTTTTATAATATTACTTCAGCAGTCTCATCAAGTTTTGTACCAAATCTTTGGAATTTGTACCAAATCTACCAAAACTCGTATACAAAATTTGTTGAGCTGCAGTCTCTCTTTTACTTAACCATGGCAATCTTCAGTGTCTTCTTTGTCCCAATGATCCATGCCTGTCCCTTCTTTACCTGAATGTTCTGAGATGTTCTGTATGATAGCTCCCTCTAAAAAATGCTTATTCTACAGTTAGAGAAAGAGGTAGCTTATAAGTAATGTCTCATGTATGTTGCATGTTTGTTATGTTGGTGTTTGGTGTGTTTTGCTCATTTTGGGATACAACTTGTCATGTTTATATCAATTGGAAGATTCTTATACGATCAAGTTCCTTGGTAGATTCAAGATCTTACCTAGTAATGTTAAAGATAGTTTGGGATAGCTTTCAGTAAACAGTTGTGCATTTGAACTGTGGTAGCCTTTTCTTGGTCAGATCCAACACCTCAGTCCTTTAAGGCTTACTTGCTATTTGAGAGTAAATCTGATTGGTGAGAATGTTGCACATTTTTTTTCCATAATCTGTAAAAGGATGCATGGAATTTATTTCATATCTTTGGGAATTTGCTTCTAATCTACTCACTCTGAAAAAGAGTTACTTGCACGTAAACTCCCATATCTTCTGTTATCTAACATATTAATTTGGGGGGTTTTGTAGGCAAATAGCCCACCCATTTTTAAAATCTCTACTTTCCAGAAAAGCAAAATGCCTACTTTGGAAGTAGTTTTTGAGACTTAGAAGTTGGTTGTATATGCTTACACTTGTTATTTAATGTGATAAATATTTGCTGTTCGTAAAGGAATTGCTGTTCTAAAACTGGTAAAAGTATCTGAAAAACAGAATATGTGCCCATCTTTATATGATGGATAGAAACCCATTGTTGAAAAAAACATACGTGTGATGTTGTTAGAATATCATGTGGCTGTTTAATAGCTTTACAGCTCTATGAGTTTTATTTTTAAACAGAATTTCTTTTATAAGCTGTTATATTAATATCAACTATATCATCTGTTCTTCAGCTGTTTTATTTTAAAAAATGTACTTGATATGTCTCCAAATAGTTCTGTGGTTTTCAAAAAAATTATTGTCTGGTTTTGTACTGATGATAAAACTGAAACAATGATAGGGTTCGAAGAAATGCCGCGGCTTTTAAAGCCGCCATGTTTAACATTTTTGAGGTCAGAAATCCAAAAGTATTTTAGCCTTTGCAACATTGAATGATCTCACATAATAAAAGCTTAAAAATGAGATTAGATTTTGACAATAGTTATGTTTTAAATGTAACAACATAGTTTATCTAAATAATGAAATCAGTATATAAAAAGTTTGTCTATCCACTTTATATGTTTGTTAAAGATTTAAACAGTATTGCTGTTATTACAGTTCTCATTGAGTCAGAAAAGGAATAATCATAACTTTGCAACATTTCTTTCTCAAACTTCAGATTACCCAAGTGAATTAGAAACAACTGAATTTCTTAACCAAGCAGAAAAAACGCATAGCAAAACTAAAAACAATCAGGATTTCATTAAAAAAAACATTGAGGTAAGCATTAAAGCATAAAATCATTAACAATTTGTTAAATGTTAACTAAAATATAGTATATAATTACTTCTGGAGACAGGTTTTTTTTTTAGCAGGAACATTAAAAGCTAATTAGGCATAAATGAAAAAAAAAAACCCACTTGCTGTTCTGTTGTTTATGGCAGAGTACCATCTAAGATAGTTCTCATCTTGGATGCTCATATTGGTGGGGATAATACTGCTTCTATGTATTTGCTGAAGACTACTGGAAAACGAATTGTTCTGTTTGTTCCTGGACATAGCTTGAGGGAATATGTTTCCTAAGATCTTCTTTAAATCTATTTACTGTTAAGTTAAAGGAAGGTGTTCCTATACATAGAAAAGAATAGGCATGCAAGTTGTTTATGTATAGCCTGCATGGGACCCTTATTTACCAAAGACTTCTTTCTGTCAGCAAGTAGATGCCTTGACTTTCATGCCCTTTTTTCTGTGAAAACCTAGTAGCTATAATGATTTTTCATTCAATGAAAAATATCCACCCCCCTGCTATGTCAGACTGTTATAAGATTATCAATTTATTATATGTAGGCTGCTAGATTTTTCTGTCCGAGTGATAATTTGTATTATGACAATAAGCAAGATTTGGATGTAAATTTCACAGAGTTTAAAAACCTTGTGATGTTTGAGCTAAAGGAGTTCTAAAGTGTTTTTTTTTCTTTTTGTAAATATTTCAGCTAGCAAAGAATTCAGGAAACCAGATTGTTATGCTTGAGGGGGAAAGAAAAAGGCTAATTGAACTATTGAAAGATACAGAAGATGGAATTGAATTGCAAGGTCTTGAGGTATGGCAACTTTAATTTGTTCTGTCCTGTTGTATTTGGCTTATTTTTACGGTAAATCTATATTTGATTTGGTTTTAGTCCTACCATGAAGTAACCTACTGAGATAAGAGAGAAAAGCTGCACAAATCCAATTGGCTTTTTCTCCAAGAATGAATTTGCATTGGCTTCTTTGTTCAGTTTACTAACACTTGGACACGACTGGCCTCAGAAAAACAGCAGAACTTAAAAGAAAAGCTAGACGCGGGTAGAAGGAGCCTTAGAAGCACACTCAGAGAAGAAGATGACCTAGTTTCTCTGCATGAAATGTGAAGTTGCAGCCTATCAATCTGTGCGGCTAGTGCTGTAGTCTCTGGTGGAAGGGCCAGCAGCTGCTTCAAAAAAAACTCCCAAGACTTTTTTGAGGACATGAACTTCAGAATGCAGCAAATGGGGGAAATACAGAATCAAAGAGTCATAGAATGGTTTGGGTTGGAAGGGACCTTAAAGATCACCTCATTCCAACCCCCCTGCCATGGGCAGGGATACCTTCCACTACATCAGGTTACTCAAAGCCTTATCCGACCTGGCCTTGAACATTTCCAGGCATGGGGCATTCATATGCTTCGTTTACCAATATGCATTGATGAAACTTATGTGTCCATTCAGGAACATAACATGACATCTTTGTGTGGCTTCCAACTCACTCTGTCTTAAAAGTATACAGAGGAGCCAAACTCTACTTAAGTATTAGACTTTCATGCTTTAACATAATATTAAAGAGCAAGAATTCTGTATACTGCAGTGGATAGCAAGAGCTGAAGCAGATAAAAATAACCTTTCCTCGTGGAGACTAAAAAAGAGTGTTTGATTGTCTCACCAATCACTGCTTCTGGAAGAGTCTGTGTCACAAAATGATTCCCAGTAATGTGGAGACATCACATAGTCTTTTGATCTCCCAGTTAGTAGGAGATGGCCTTTATTTCTTACTGCTTCGAGGGGAATGTCACAGTGATCGAGTTCTTGGGGGCTCTGTTGTTTTACAGAAGTAATCATCAGGCTCCTGGGAAGGTAAGATAAAAATTGGTTTGAAAAATGAATAATACTAGAAACTTAGAGTACTTTTCAACTATATACGGTGTTGAACATGCTAAAGATACGTGTTTGCGTAGAATGAACATCCTCAAGCTACATAAACTTGATATAATGCTTCAAGAAACCTGCATTTTCATAAATAAGAGGAAATATTAGGAAAATGCTTGCTTTGTGTAAAGAAATTAAATGACCTTTCTAATTTGTTATGCGTTAACATGTAAGTTATGTTAAGTCTATGGTAATGTTATGAACTCTTTCACAACATTTGTAACTATACACTGAATCACAGTACTTAAGAAGAAAGATGTGAACTTTGTGCAGCATGAACAAAATATATCCGAGGTCCAGTTTCTGTTTAATTTATACAGCTAAAAATGATTTGGAGTATTTTTCAGTAGATTAAATAACAACTTAGATGTGCGAGAAAGAAGCAAGAGCAAATGCAATGAGTTGGTGGTGTGTTTTTTTTTTTTTAATTCTCTCTTCCCATATGTTACTTTGACTTATTTTCTAATAATGTGGTCAAGACATCCAAGAGTTGATGCTCTTCATTACTCTTTTCTGAAATGTGTTTAAAATCCCTCTTTACAAATTACTGTTTCAGGATATGAGGTTAGGAGGTGAGCTCAGGGTTTTCTTCATCTGAATCCAAACTGGTTACGGAAACAGAAAACCAACCTACCCATGGTTTGTGACATTAAACAAATCTGTAATTTACCCAACTTCAGTATGATTTCTAGATTGAAACTCATTTGGTCCTTGGTCCAAAACTTTTCTCTTTACTCTTGGGAAACTAGTAAATATACACTGCGTTTTGGCATTTTCAGAGCTTTGTGGGGCAAATATAAGCGAAGGAGTCCATATCAGTCAGGAAAACATGATGGACAAATGATTAAGATTATATAAACGTGCTGTATTTTAACAGTAACTGTTCTTTCACAGTTAGTAAGCTAAAGTAGAAGCACAGGAAACATAACCTTTGGCATGCAAAGGTTTAAAAATATCAGCACTTAAACCACTCAGTTCTTGTGTTCATGAGATGAAAAACTTCGACTTCCGTAAAATTCCTCCAGTCTTCCTGTTGACCTGACATTTGTTCCCTTGCTTTACACAGAAAGCTTATTTAATTTTTTTGGACATGAACACTGAGCTTACATATTGATTTATTTATTTGTGTAAGATACTCATCAGTTTATGATGTTGTTTATTTGACTTAACTGACATAGTTTAGTATTAAAAAAAGTAGCGGAAGGCTCTTTAGTCTAATGTTCTACTGGTTAGCAGAGTTGATTTTTGTTGTACTTGTAATTTGTTGCATATTAGAAGAACAAAGCTAAAGCTCACTGGATCATTATTTAATTGATCTTTTGCATGTGCATTTAGGAAAAGATTCAAGGTATTCTATTAGATATGCTTGCAACAGGTTTGGCATTATAATCCCACATAAAAGTGACAAAATGTTCAGCTGAAACAGTACTTGGTCCAGCCTTTGAGTAAGAAGAAACTGTAGGGAGAGGGTTGTGGGGCTTTTGTTTGATTTTTTTTCTCCTCTAGTCAGAAAGGTTGGTACTTGATTAACAATACTGTCTCTTCTGTTCTTCTTTCCTGATCAAGGACGTGTTTCAATTTGAGGAAGTGGTCCATCATTTGTTAAACATCAGCATTCAAAGATGTGAAGATGTTTTAAACAGCCTTCTGTTAGTAAACATCATAGCTTTCTGACCAAGAGGGTTTTTTTAGAATTTATTATTTTACTGATTACAAAAGTCTTCTCTCACAATATGTAGTTATTGGGTTTTCTTTTACCTAGTGTCCTTCACAAAATTTAGAGGCATTTATGCAGAATAGCTAATGCAAATTGTGACTAGCAATGTATACCTTTTTTCGTACCAATTCTCAAGGCATCAAGGCAATGGAAAAGTATACTGTTTATCCAAATTTTGTATTTGGCACATGTCACTATCATGTGGGCATGTATTTACAGAGATTCTACTATTTATATCAGATATTAAATAGATCACTACACAGATCATGTGTGTTGCTGTATGTTCTTGATACAGTGGACAAGAATGGGAATGGTAATTTGTGGGTTAGTCTAGTCTGTACTAGATCATCTCTTTAAGGAAAACAGCTCCTAAATCTACTGCCAAAGTAGAAGAAAAGTAAGGATAATACTTAAACCTGTCTAGTCTGTCTTCCTTTCCCACATTTGAATTATATTATGGGTGAGACATTTCCTGTGGCTGCTTTATAACAAAGATCACGAGGAAATTATCAGCTAATGAGTAATCTAGGCTGCTTGAAGTTGGCCCAGGTAACTGTCCAGCTGATGACCACTTTCGTCTTACTTCATTCTGACTTACAAAAAGCCGGTGCAACCACATTGGCTAAAGTAATGTTTTGGAGGTTATCAATCAAGGCAGAGCTGGCTATGCTGTATGAATTCCTCTGTATAATGTAATGTGGGTTAGACAACTTCATTTGACTCGTACTACTAAATATGTCAAACGTCCAAATAGCATTTCTCACTTTTTTAAAAAAGTGTTTTATGAGTATTTAGAATAGTTTAGAAGTACATAGTCATGCTAATCTAATTGTCAAAGCTGCAGGGGTATAATTTGTTTCAGATGTGCCACAGTAATAAGCACTGACTGTGCTGTTATAAAAGTATTGTTCTGAGTTAACACACAGGAAACATTGACAGGACAGAAGCTTATTTTCCAAGTGAAGCCATCTTGAAAATACAAAAGACAATGTGTGAGACTATATGACCACGGAGTAAAGCGACTACTGGAGTAATTTGGATACTTGGAGCATGAGATATAGACACTGAGCTGTGGCTAATGAGCCCAGTTGCAGCTTAACTGACTCCTGTAGAGTCGTTTCAGTGTGTTCGCACTCTGCTCTTCAGTGTCTGATTTGCCATGTCAACATGGCAAAAGTGTAGTACTTCAGTGTGTTCGCACTCTGCTCTTCAGCGTCTGATTAGGGGGTGGTCAACATGGCAAAAGTGTAGTAGCGCATTGGATACTTAAGTTATTATGGTCACTGTATCACCTGAACAGATGCTTCCACAAAGCTGGCAAGCTTCTAGAGACATTTCTGAGTGGCCCTTCTGGGGTCAGGTCATGTCTGGTCAGGCTTACTAGTTGTGCATCATACTTGTGTGAGAAAGCATTAGAAGAACTGATTTTGTCTCACAAGAGATGACTTTTTTTTTTTTTTTTTAAATGCAGTATGGAGTTAATTTATTACAGGTGTTGGGGGTATGCTTTTTTTCTTTTTGCAATCAGTGTGCTTTAGGGTAATGGGGATGAACCGGGGATGAACCAGGGATGACCTCACAGCACTGGTATTGTAATTGGAAGCTGATATTTCCTCCTCTTGTGTGGATGCGGCTGCTTGAGTAGCCAGAGGACTAATCTGGAAGCTGTAAAGGAGTGGTGGGCATGAATCCCTTGCAAGACAGATGTTGAAGTCTTAGGGCAAGGTGCTGGCCCTCTTCTGTTAGGAAAAAGAAAGAAAACCAGCAATACATTCTTGTCCTCTCCTGCATCCCTGCCCTGCCCTTCTGAGATCCCACCTGCTGTTTCTTTGTGGTCAGGGCAGAGGCGTAATCTGCTAGTGTCATTCTCAGTGAATGGTGGTCGTGCAGGCCTCCTTCCCGGAATTTGAGCCAGGAGCATCAGTTTGTGAATATGAACTCATTTGTTTGGGTTAAGTGGGCCAAGCTCACTCATAATATGCAACTGTCTGTAGTAGGAGCACATATTCTTATTGGTTCGTCAGGTGTTGCTGCTATAAAGAGTTTTAAAAGTCGTTTAAATCACGATCAGGAAAAGAACTCTACGTTTTCTGTCTCTCCCAGTGATTCTGTGGTAACATACCAGGCCTCTAGAAGGGTGGCAGCTACTGACCTCAGAGCAGTTCCTTTGCTTTCCTGTGGATGTCTTGTTTTCTTCTTTGGTGATATATAGCAAGTGTCACATTACATCTCATACCTTCATTTGGAGATTTGGCTTCAGGTGGTTTCTGGCATAGCATCAACCTCTACAGTTTCATTCCAAGTCTGGTTTTGGTCAGGCTTTCCTTCTTTTTGACTCCTTATCAGATGGAAAGTGGTTGTCCTTTTAAACATAGCTGCTGGTTGTATTTCCTTCTTTGACTTGCACAGGAGTCTGTTGTTTCCACTTCCTTCAGAGAACAATAGAGAGTAGTGTACTATGTTCCACTTTATTTGGACTTCCAATGTGCTGCTGTGCAGGTGTGATTGAGTGTGTACCAGAATAGATGTCTCTGCCTTTGGTGCCAGACTTTGAGATGCAAGTTCATTGGGGGAGTTGGACAAGATAGGTTCAGTGTAGTTGAGAACATCTCACTTTTATGCCTGTTGACTTGCATTTATCATTTTTAAAAGCAAAAAGTATCTTGCTCTCTAAAGTTTGCTATATGATCAACTCTCTGTGCAGTTCCTTGGGCTTAAGCTGTAATAAGGTGTCTCAAGAGTAAGTGTGTAAACAAGCAGTGCTGAGGTACAAGGCATAACAGAAGTGATTTAAGATGATGTTGAGGACAGTTCTAGTGCAGTTTCTGAGGGCTGTGCTTTTCCACTTCAATATTGGCATTGAAAATGTGAGCTCATAACATGTTCGTTATGTTTTCTGTCATAGGACTGGTGGATCTACGTCTGCCAGATGCTTTCCTCTCTATCCTCTGCACTATCTTGCAAAGGAGTACAACATTCCTAAAATTGATTTTCATCTCAGTAGCATCAGAAAATGATGTTTACTGTGCAGTGCTGGACAGCAAGATCTATATGCAAGTTAGACTGTGACAAGCAATTATTCCTTCAAAAGGGAGCTGGGACTGTTATATTGAACAAACAGAGAAACCGCAGCAAGGGAAGAGTTTGCATCCATGGACGTGAGCTGCGATAGGGATGGCATGGCATGGCATAATACTGTTTTAAAAGTTTGACTGACTTGGCTAAGAGGCTATAAAGTGAGATGCATCATTAAGAAAATGCAAAGCTATGCAAAGCGCTTCTCTTAAGCATAAAGAGAACTTGATCAAGGGAGCTGTATAACCTTCAGAAGAATGGATGGGGAACTTGGGAGCTGCCTCATTGCTCTTTGGCCAGCTGGCAGGAGAAGCATCTCGCTTTAAGCAATTTTATTTCAAGGCTTCTGAGTGGCTAGTCAGTGAGAACACAGGCTTTGGATTTTTATAAAAATAAGTAAAATAATAGAAGAAGTCTGTTTAGGTTAACACACCATCTTTCTGGTATTATGTTTTAACAATGCAGGTAGATGCACGGGCTTTCTTATAATAAACTTAAATATATATATTTTAAGTCCATTTAAGTTGCTGCTTGGTTATATTTAAAAATTAAAAATGTATGCCTCTAATTGTTCTGTCCGTACCTGCTTTTGAGTGTGCATAGTATATGAATATTGGCAGATTTCAGCTATATACTGAGACGGATGAAAACTTACATTTTATTTTTAAGTACAGTTTATTTGAAAAATATATACACTTGATGTGTAACTGCCTTTATAGTCTGTTTCCCTTGGGAATGAGGATTAAATATTTTCTGTATCTTTCAATAGGAGGATGTATCTGGCTGGCTAACGCCAGGAGAAGGGTACACACCTGAACCAATGGAATTTCATCACCTCAATGAGATAGATCTTAAGCTTCAAGTGCTACTATCTGATGGGGATTTTTCTGCGATTTCTAGCTCTTGCTCAAAACCTCCAAGCCAGATTTATCAGGTATATTACAGAACAGAGCTTTTGTTGCAGATTTCTCATTTGAAGTGTGTGTTGAGATCTGAGGTAAATGAAAATACAGCATGCGTCTGTATTTGTTTTTTGCATTTTTCCTCAAGTACCTTCCTCTTGTTCTCAAAGCGTATGTGTTAAAGGAGGAAGTGATATCTGTGGCTGAAGAAATCATACTGAAAAATAGTTTGTTGCTATTTTGAGTGGTATATAATTCAAGGACTGTCCTGTTTTTAACATTTGTTGATTCCACGCTTTCAACAAAAAATTCATATGCAGGAATTGGTAACTCAGACTTTTTTAACTGTGTGAGGGCCTCAGTGTTTTTGTCAGCATGGTGACACATTACCCATGATGATTCATCTTTGGGAATTAGAATTGGGTTTCTTCTTACCTCAGGATTGCAAAAGTGCCTCTTCATTTATGATCTGAAAGGTAAAGCAATTACTGATAAGCAATGTTAAAGACTGTAGAAAATAAACTGAAATTTTATGTCCCTTGTTTTTAATGGCCTTTGTCTTTCTCCCTTGCCAGCAGTATTAAGAATCTTTGGGGTCTCAGCCTTGAGAAATAATTGTTTGAATTTTGTACATAGAAGACTCCAATTTTTCCTATGCCCCAGTAATGTTGCCCCTGATATAATGGGAGAAATACAACATAAAATACCATAATTCCTATTTTGCACTAATTTGCACAAAAATTTTTTACTTCTGTAAAATTTACAGTTTATAGACAGAGGGTCTGTAAGAGTGTACAGTGGCAAAATTGATTTCAGTTACCAGTGTATGAGAAACATCTCTTTGAATAGCTAAAATAACTGTGGGATTTTTTTTTTTCTTTTGCTAAAGAGCACATTAATGTCATTTTTTGTATGGACTTCTTTCTGAACTTCAGGTTTTGTTTTGCCTGTACTAGAATTTTGTCTTGCTCTGACCATTCCGGAGGAGTCATGTTTTGATGTTGATCATTTACCAAGTGGGATTTAATGTGTGAAACAGCGACTCCCTCTAGTGGGTAATCACTCACGCAGATGCAGTTGTTACCCAGTAACTTCAGGTTCATGGACCTGGGCTTGTTCAATGATTGCTGAATCTTCTGTTCACTGTTATGAGATGTCAGCTTGAAGTCAGAGCGACTGCCTATGATCACAAATGCTCTGTTTGCGAACGTTAGTTCAAGTAGTTGTTGTTGTTTACTTTTCAGGTAAAAGCTTGGAAGTATTTGAATAGAAACTTGCATTTATGTCTATGCTTATTGAAAAGTAATGCATTATCTTTTTGAGTAATATTAAACTTAACAACCAAAAAGAGATAGTTTCTAAAAATTACCCTTTGTTAGTGAAAAGCAGTTGCCCTTCAACTTTGTTTTGCAGCACATAAAGGGCTTTCAGACATTGTAGTTCCAGGAAACACATAGAGGATTCCATTTGTCATTTTTTGTTTTGTTCAGTTAAACACGTGAGTCATTTTAATGAAAGCTACCAAAGAACAGGACTATTTAAAGGTGGTTTTCTAAATTTAGAGAAAGAGCTAAACAGAATAAATATAAGTTGAAGCGAGTAGGAGGCTTTAGTTATTTAAAACTGTATTTAGAAGGACACTAATTGCATAAATGCAAAACTAATTTAAAAAAAACCCAACAAAACAAACAACAAAAGCAAACCCTCCCACTCTGCAGCTATCTAATTCCAGAAGTGTCTTGATTTCCAGGTGCCTTCCCAGTTGACTCCAAAATCCTGTAGGTGCTTTCATTACTGCTTCTCTGGTGTCCAGGGCTGTTTCTCTCAGCAGAGGACAGGTTGTCTAGTGGTTGCCTTAGTTTCATTTTGATACAGACTTTAGGCAAATGAATGTTAAGTTCTTCATGATGCCTCATTTGGTAGGTGCAATCTGATTGCATCTGGCACTGTGACATGACTGCGCTTATTTATATTTACATAGAATTTCAGCTGCAATTTTTTTTTTTTTTTTAAGTGGTAACTGGAGGAGAAAATAGTTGTCTCACCTTTCAGGAACTTGACTGCTTACTGTGGAAGATTCGTACCAGGTTTAGCCCTCAGTCCTATGTTCTTGGTTATTTTTGTTTTGGTAGGTGAAAAATCACTTCTCAGTTCATACATAGCAGTAACAACAGGTTGAGTTCTGAATTTGGTTATGCGAATTCATTCTCAACACCTTTTGTTTTCAAATTCCTTTAACAGTTGCTTTTTCAAAAAAACCCAGGAAGTAACATGCAGCAGTATCTGAGAAATTAGTGACTATTTTGAGTTTTGAGGGCTGTCAAAAGGTGTGAAAAATGACTTTTGGTTTTTTTTACAAGTAGTTGTTCTAAGTTCATTGTTGCTCATGGTCTTTTTAAAACAACCTTGATTATCACAATCAATATCCCCTAATCTTGTTATAAACTGGAAATTTTTTTTAAAAAGCAAATTCATTAAATTATTATTATTCTTGAAGCATCAGTTCTGAGATCAGAAGATAGGTGTATCACAGAGCAATATCAGAATTCTTTGTACTGAATGGAACCTGATCAAAGGCAACTGATACCTACCCAGAAAGGCTCTGAAGAAATTAATTGAAGATCTTGTTTTGTGACATGTTAGCATGAACGCCGCATCTAAGACAAGGCAGTAAGAGCTCTGGTTGTCTGCCCCTTGTTGGGTTTAATTTCAAGTGTTTAATGACAAGATTTTCAATTGTTTCTTCAGGTCACCACAGCAACTAAATGAGAAAGTAAACTAGCTATCAGGCTGTTATCCTCTGTAAAACCAGTTATAAGTGGGGCACATTTAACTTGCTAATAGAGTGAATTAAATATGCAGTAATTACCTTATTTATTAACCCTCACACATATTCTCTAAACATTGTGAGAGACAAAGTATTCGTTGATGAGACTGGGCATCTGCAGTATTCAAACCCAACAGTGATAATCTGGTATTGTTGAAGTCTGGGATAAGTTTCTATTGATTTCTTTTATTCAGAGTTTTAGATTAGATTTTATCACTACTTCTCCTGTAACTGAGGTAAATTCTGTAAACTTAATTGCTAGATAAAGATGTTGGCACAGATGCTATGGAAAGCAAATTTGAATGCACTGCAATATTTGTTTCTTAGGAGTTGGGTTTTTTTTTAAATCAAGGTGCCAGGACACCTTTTTAAAAAAAAAATCCTGAAAGTACAGAATTTATTTTGAATGCATCTAGTTGTTACAGGAGACAAGGCTAATTTTGAGCATGGATGTCCTTTCATTTGGAGAAGAGGCTGATTTCAGTGACATTAATCTTGCTTCTAAAAATCAGTGCTTAAATTCTTTCTGATTTCCATGGGATGGTGATTTCATCTGTTGTGGCTGAGTAGTGTATAATGCATTAGCGATGGGGAACATAGGGAAAAATTGTTAGTGTATAAATCATCTGCTTGGATTTTTATTCAGAATTTTAGAAGTAATTAAAACAAAATTAGCTTAGAGTTGCATATCATAAAGCTGCTTCTTTTCTTGCAAGAATTGCATTAGATACAACATTGGAAATGCAAACACTTAATCACCACTGACTCAATGGGAGAGCTGCTTTCTGCCACTGATAGTTACTTTGGCAGGATATAGGAACTATGCTCTAACTCTGAAATCTTTAACAACTGGCTTTAATTATCCTACAGTACCACAGCTGAGCTGTTACAGAGGAGCATACAGATTCATCTTTTTGTGCAATGAGTCCAGCTGGATTCAGAATGCTTTTCCATGACTAATGTTCTCTTTTACATGGAGGTGTTTCTCATCAGAACTGTATTTCTGTCTGAAACATTTCTTTGTTCTGGTGCCGACTAAATTAAATAATTAAAAATGCTTCTGTCTTTCTTAGTATTTTTGGGGAAGAACAAATTAAGTTGAATGTAATCCTGGACAAGACAGGAAAATGGTAGGATGAAGAATATGAAGTATAAGACTGTGTGGGATGAGTACAGTTACCAGCTTGAAAACTGGAAAACTACCTGAAAATAAAACGAAATGGAGATGGTGTTTAAAGAAACAATAATATCTGTCTGCTTGGTTGTCTTATAAAGATAATTACTTCAGTGTTGTATATTACCTTGATGAGTTCTTTCATACCCGATTGGGTTTCTTTTATCAGAAAAATATTCCATTTTTCAATTTCAGCAGTAGACTATACTTAACAGTTTAAAACTAAATAAATACTCAAAATGATGCAAAATTCTGAAGATACAATAAAGTTTCAATTAACAAACTCTTTGATAGGCTATACTCTATGTCTGCACTTCCCCAAAACAGGTGATTTTGACAGGTATCTCTATTTCACAGCATGGCTAGAAGCAGGTTAATAAGCTAATCAGACAGTTTTGTGGCTCGAGAAGATTGTATGACACTAGTATCTTTCATTAGGTAGGATTCTGTTTTTATTTATTTATAGAATTTTGGAGAAAAGGGAGTGCAGCAAATAATTTTAGCCATTTCAAATACTGGATATTTCTGGTTTGCATTACGATTGTTACAGCTTTGGCTGTTGCGAAGTACTTGTATCTTCCCCTGTGTAACTTATCTAACAGTTTTATTTTCAGCCTCATCTTCAAGATTTTTAGATATTTGTTAAACTCAAATGGACTTGACTGCCTACACAGGCTGTACAATTGAAACAAAATATTTTGAAGCATTTGAAACATTGACAATAAAATGTTTTCCATGATATTATAATTCCTATGTTTATTTCACGATATCTTGAGAAAAATAATAAAAAATTAGTAAGTGGAGAGAAGTCTTAACTTTGATTATATGGTGTGAGTTCTGATCAGTTACTACTGAGACATAAGAGAAATGAGACTGTAAGAGCTATTTCTGTGAAAGCAGCAGCTTAATGCTCCATAGTGGTCAGATTATGGAACACTGTGAAAGGAATTCATAGGGAACAATTATGAAAGGAATTCAGAATGAAACAGAAAATATCACTGTGCTGCTGTAGACATCTGTAGTGCACCATATAGCTTGGCTATTGTGCAGTGTGGTCCCTGGATCTCATAACCAGTATGGAAAAAATGGAAAACTGGTTACCAGAATACTCAGAAGCGTAGAATGGCTTCTATGTAAGGAGTGACTTACACAGAGTTCGAAAAAAGGAGTAAGAGGGAATGTGATTGAAGTGTGCAAAACCATGTTGATCAGAGAGAGAGTAAATAGTAACAGATTTTTTTACCATTTCATCTAAATAGAACTATATCAGTTGTGGATGTTGATGTTGGAGAAGTGTTGAAACAAGTGGGTTTTACTTCTGTTTTCTGGTAAATGTTCATAGTTCAAGTTTTATCCAGCACTCTCCGACAAGAATTGGTTAGGTGTCATGGTAGAGAAAAGTTTATGGAGAATAAAGTTGTCCTGTTTATCCCAGTTAAAACAATTCTTTTGATAGAACAATATTGTCTTACTAGAGGAGCAACCAAGCTTAAAATCATACTGCATGTGATAAAAGGAAAAATAACTAACGATACATGGTTTTCCTAAAGTTTGAAAAGGTTGCTCATAAGTGCTTGCTACAGCTGGGCTGCCTGTAAAATGAAATGTGTATGCCTGAAATTGTTTGAAAGACTGGGACAGAGGACCGCATAAAGCGTTGCTTCAGAAATGTGCGTGGAGGAGAAAGTAAAAATTTGAGGATAGTACCTTTTTTGATTTTTATGACTACTCTCACCGTCACCTTTTTAAATCTAGCTGGTGCTGCAGCAATAATAATGCCAGAGATGCTGTTTGCAGTTTTAGCTCTGTTCTTCATTGAAGGCTGAGTTCGTATAAAAATATGAACCAGTAGTCCATGCATACAAACCCCACAATAAAATACTGGGAAGTTTAATATAGTATTTAGTGACTTCTCAGTACTACTAGCTGCATATTCTTACAGGTGTATCCGTAACGTTGCTTTTTAAAACAAGTCATAACTACAGCTCTGATCCATGCTGAACACTAAGTGCTCACATGGCAATGTCTCTATACATGGACAGATCAAAAGATTGCATTTAGAAATGTTAGAGCAGAAATAGCTATAACTTTTTTTTAAAAAGAAATATGATGCCATCATCTTCCTCACCGCCGTTCTATGAACAATTTCACTTGTATTAAAATCAGTGGAAGGACAAAGCCATGTAAAAAAGCAATTCCTCTTATTAGAGGGAGCTTCAGTTATACTTTGAGCTGCGTGGCCAACTCAATATTTATATTGCAGATACAAAGATCATATCCTTGTTTCATGTATTAATAAAAACAGGTTTAAAAGTCCTTTGGTTTTTTATGTTCTGTATAGATGTCAGTCATACAGATTTTTCACTATTGGGCAAGAATTGGCATCATATTTAATTAAAAAAACCTCTCTCTGTGTTTAGAAGCCTAGCTTTAGACACTCATTAAGAATTTGGCTTTAGGTGGCCCACATTAAACTTCAGGCCAGTTTGGAGAAATTCTAGTCATTAACAGGTGGCGCTGTTTATATCTCTCTGTTATAGGAAAATTTATTGGCATTGTAGTACTGCCAACTATTGCTGATTGTAAATATATATTCAAAGATTTGTACTGTGTTAAAATAAGTTTATTTTCAGGCAACTAATAATTTTGCTTAAATGTCAGAACTCATAGATTTGTTTGATGTTTAGAAAAAGTTGTTTACAGATGCTCGCAGTTTCTTATATGTTGTAACTGAGAAATTTTCCATTGCATGTTAAATTGCAAAGGTTGTTTTTCTTTCCAATTAGACATGCTACTTGAAATTCTTTTCCTTGTGTGTGTTTATTAAGATTCCTTGAGCCACTTCTGAAAATAAGATTACATGGTTGCTCATGTTCCTTTGGGTTGAATTGGCCAACAGGTTTGGGGTTTTTTTTCGGTTGTTTTTTTTCCCCTCTAACATTATTTGGATTCCTTGGGTTCTTCGACAGGAAGAGAACCAAGGTTCTCTTTGGTTTGCAAGATAAAGCCCTTTATTTTTTTCCAATTGCAATATAACTTTGTTGTTTTGCCAATACTTGTCATTCTTAATGATCTAAATTACATGTAATATCGAACCTTGAATATATTCAGGACTGACACAAACTTGAGAATCTGATCCAAAGCTGCTGAAGGATATGGGAATGTGTAACCCAAATCTTTAATAATTGTTGGGCATCTAACTCCAACTTAGAAGAGAGGGTTATTTCTCATTTACCATGATATCTAGTAAACAAAACCTACAGTCATTTCAGTTCAATTCTTCCTTTCCCTTCTGGCCTAATTCTGATCCCAGGAGGAAGCTTTGAACCCCTAATTCAGTCTCCCCTATTCTCAGTGTATTTTTATTGTTGTAGTAGAATTTAAGCATGAAAGTTTTAGCTCTGGAGACTAAGAAATTCCTCTTAAAATGCAAAGAGGAAGCATTCTTTTATTGAAGTAAGTCCAGCCTGATACTTAGCTATTGTATTTGAAAATGTGCATAGTGAAAATTATGCATTTACCAAATCTGAAATTGACACATTATTCTCAACATTTCAATGTTTTCCTCGTAGAAATCAAAAGAACACTTATCTGCCTTTGTAGCAATATAAAGTCATATGTATAATTTCTGCCTACTCTTCCTTTTGTCAGGAGTCTCTGGTTTATGCAAACAGAAGCCTAGAAGCACTTCCAGGTGAAAAGGTTCTGCAAGACAACAAGGAACAACGTGATCAACAAAATCGTCTGAAAGAAATAGATCATCAGCTGAAATCCCTAGAGAGAAATCTTGTAAGTCTCCTATTTTTGTTGTACTTTTTTCCCCTCAGTTTGAAAACTTTGGAGTTTATTATTCCATGTGTCTTAAAATAAAATCAAATTCTGCAACCTTGTGTAAATTCCTGAAGGAATCCCCAAAGAAATATACAAGCAAAAGTCTCAAATATTTTTTCTTAATCTGGGAAACGTATTTTTCAGTTGTAATGCATGTTTCCCATTAACATAGTGTCTTTCAGATGGAAAGAAATTATTCTCCTCTCTTCCTCCCCAGAGTGGGATAGCATAAACAATCATATATAAATATATCCTAAAAGGATTTTTTTATGTTTCATATAATTCAGTGTTCTTTGAAGGACCAGGTCTGGTGGGAATGTTGTATACACTGTTATTGTGTGATTTAGTTTTGCTGAATTCATTTATGTTATTTTTGTAACTTAATTTTCAATTAATACATGGATTCCATAGGTGAAAGGGCCTTTAAAGCAGGAGCATGTAAGTAAAATGGTAGAAAAAGTCATTATTGTTTTAGAGTAAGTACATCACATCTCATCCTTATTACTACTTTGAGTAAAAGCAGGTAGGGAAAAGGCAATTTAAAATCCAAGAGGATCCTACTGTTAAAATCCAAGAGGATCCTACTGTTAACCTAGTAGGCAAAAATGATGTTTATTTCTAAGTCGTAGAGCCAGGGCTGACAAACCAAAATTATGTGCCTCTCTCAAGTAATATATTACTATTCTTTTCTCTTTCATTGAGTATAATTTGTTACATTACTCTCAAGTTATAGTAAGGAAATTTAACTAAAAACTAGTGACAGGGGAACCTCAAGGACTTCATGAATCTTTTTACTCATTTTTAAAATAGACATTGTAAATGTGCTGTTTGCTCTGTGCTGAAAGAGCTACAAAGCAGCCTACACAAAAGAGAATTAGGGAGAAAGTATATAAACATTAAAAAACAGATGAATTCCAAAGGAGAGTCCTAAGATGATCTAATTGCCCTTTGTTTGTCCTGAAAGCCAATGTTGGTATTTATTTTTATGTTGGATCTCTCATAGATCTTCTTAAGAGCACAGGAAGAAAATCTTTTTTTTTTCTTTTTTTTTTTTTTTAACTTTGCACAAAACTTTGAAGGTTTGCCTTGCTCAGGTGAAGTCAGGAATGAAAATGCTGAAGACTCAAAAAAACGTTGCCGCATAACTGAGCTGGTAGTAGCAGTTAAAACCTGGATACATATGCGTATTTTGAAGATTGTCACATCTTTGTTTAGTGTTATTTTTCTGCTTTGAGATGAGAAAGCTTCTGTTTCTCCATAGAATGTGCTATGTGGATAAGACAAACTAGTACAGTAGTGTACAAGAGACTGAGGTAAGATGACAGCTGGCATGGGTAACCTGATGAAGCTGGATTTTTATTAGGAAACCCCAAGAATTTTAGTACATTAGCAAGAGGCATCAGTATAGGTAATTGACATAGAAGAGGTGTGCAAATGAAGAAGGTGGTGACTGGGAATAGTGAGCGTGGATTTACCAAGGGTAAGTCATGCTTGACCAACCTGATTGCTGCCTTTGATGAAATTACTATATCTGCTCTGTAAGCTGAAGGGTAGGGCTGCAACTCACTGGGAGTGATGCTGGAGGAGTGGGCTGACAGGAGCCACATGAGATTTGTCAAGGACTAAAGCAGAGTTCTGCTTTAAAGAGGAATAACTCCCTCAGACAGTGGAAGGTGGAGCCTGGCTGGGTGGGGAGCAGCCCTGCTGAAAAGGACCTGGAATCCTTGTGGACAATAGACTACGTGAGCCAGCAGTGTGTCCTGCAGTGATGAAAGTTAACAGCATATTTGGCTGTATCAACATAAGTATAGCCAATAGGTTAAGAGATGTAATTACTCCCCTTTACCTGGTACTCATTAGACTGTGTCTAGAGTATTGCATCCAGTTTTGGGCTCCCCAGTAAAGAGACACACCTGAGCAAGTTCAGTAGAGGGCCACTGAGATGATTTGGGGATAAAGCACTTGACCTGGGAGGCTGAGGAGACTTGGTCTGGAGAAGAGATGGCTCAGGCGGACCTAACAGTAGCTTTCCAATAGCAAAGAGGACATTACAGAGAAGACAGAGCTGTAGTGTCTTTACTGAATTACATGGTGGGAGAACAGGAGACAATATACATAAATTGAAACAGGGAAGTTCCAACTGGATTTAAAGAAAAATAATACCTCGGAGGTTACATGGATAGACTGAAAATCTCCATCCTTGAAAATTTTTCAGACCTGTCTGGAGAAAGCCATAAGGCATTTGATCTGATCATATAGCTGACCCTGCTTTGAGCAACAGGTTGGACTAGAGACCTCCTGATACGCCCCCCCCCTCCCCATTCTGATGATTTTTTGATTCTACAAGGAAAAGGATCAAGGCTTTTTAATGCATTTCTCAGGTGGTAATCTTTCTTTATTATCACCACGTTGAAGGAAAAATAGTAATTCTTCATGGCTGTGGGTTGTAGAAATTTGTTTCTTGCACGTAGCTGATGTTAATGTTTTTCATGTAGTCATAAAACCAATATATGTTTGTTGTGTCAGACCGGAAATCCGTCCTTTGGCTTGTGGAGGCCTTTATTCAGCAGTACCTCCTGCAGTAATCGAAGTTAGGACAAATACTGTTCCAGTTGTCTTTTATCACCCTCAAAAGGGATCTCCAGTGCAGATCAAAAGCTTTGTGATTCAGATAGCAGCATAACCACAGTGGTATAATCTCAATTACTGATGGCACTGTCGCTACAGAAGCAAAAACTTCAGCCACTCTCTACATATGCAGGGTTTATGCTGGCAGTGCTGGAGCTGCACAACCAATATGATTAGGCTTCTGGAAGGTTTAAAGCTAAACTGGATACAACTACATACATCCCATCTTTGGTTTGGAAAAAAAAAAAGGCTAATTGACACATTTTTCCTGACGTTGGTTAATTTTACATAATTCTGGAGTATGGGAACAAAGACTTCAGACACAAGACAGTGATTGCTTTAGAGGCTGTTCACTTGTATATGTGTGTCACTACAGTAAGGCAGCATATTTAGCTTTTATCTGTTCATAGTACCAAAACAATAATAGAACTTAATTTTAATACACTGCTTTATTATGTTAGACAGTTAAAAGACGGGAGATGAGTAACTGGAGGAATTCTGTGGAACTTCAGTATATTGAATCGGTTAATGGGTAAACAGATAAAATAAGTGCGTATTGTCATCTTTTCCTAGTCATTGACCTTTATGTCACTTTTTGTCACTACTGACCTTGTTCATGAAGCAAACACAATCTGAGGAAGTGCGTCTGGGAACTGTATGATAGTCTACAGCAGGCCTGGGAAATGCAGTGGGCTGCTGACTCATTCAAATATTTTGTATATAAATGGGTCGGTTCCAAGTCTCAAGTCTTGGTTGGGTTACAGCAGTATTGTTTGGTATCACATTACACGCAGACTCTTGCAACATACCACACATTTTTCCTTGGCTAGATTGTCTGTATTTAGAACTCTAAATCCATAGACTGTACTGTTAATTTACAATGTTTATAAACATAGAATAGGTCCTCTGTACCCCTGTGTAACTCATGGCCAGAATAGCATTGGTGCGTGCTATGCAGCACCTGGAAAAGCTTCTTCAGGGGGACATACTGTGTCCTCTTAGCAGCTGCTGCTCTGTAGCATGACTCTGACATCATAGCATAAGTCTATGAAGTATTTGTGCGTTAGGTCCTCTGTGAGGTATTTTGGTTGCCGGTGTAAGTAAAGAAGTATTCAACTCTGAATGAAAGTAGGTTTTTCTCTCTAACAGTAAAGTAAAATATATAGACAATGTACACTTTTTTTTTGTGTGGACAAAGAACAGCCTTCAGAAAACAGAGCTTTTTTTAGTTTCGTGTCCTTGATACCATCTAATCTTACTTCTGGAAAATACAGTTATTACTAGAGAAGATTGGACAAAACAACATGGTATCTCCTTCTGATGCAACATACATAACTGAATAAAATTTTTCTTATTTGGTGTGGGAATGTCTAAAAATCAGATAACTCTTAGGCAGTGTGGATTTGGTGCCTTGTTTCTATACCAAAGTAATATTTTGGCCGTGGATTCTGTAACAACATTAACAGCAAAACTGCTGTCTGCCAGGAAAATGCGTGATGAAAAGCTAAACTGAATGCTTGGGTTGAGGAGGGGGGAGTACATAGATGGCATGTTTCCAGAATAATTTAATTATTTCTGGAAATACTGTTTGTTATTCAATAGGTGGCACTCTTCACTGTATGTCAGAGAAAGAACGCCTAAGCATGGTTCGAGAGGATATTATAACTGGTGAAAACGCTGTCATTTCTGTGGTATAAAACACAGGTTGTGAGAGATTGCCTTTCACTTTTGGCAAGGTTCCAGATGTGCAGCTTTTAACGTTCAGTTATTTTTCTAGCTTAGCTAATTAAATTGTCTATTTAAAATGCACGTTGCATTTAAATTTCTCCTTAACTCTTTCCTAAACCACTGTAATTTGTTGCATAAAATTGGAAATAAATTCTCTGCTCTGAGTAGAGGAGGTGATTTGTTAGGAGTTAGGAATGTTATTTCTGAATGCATGGTTATTCTGGGCTTTATAATTTTAAAATGTAGTATTTTACAAATTTAATGTCTGAGAGATGACCTTTTAAAATGTCTTTTAAAAAATCCCTCAGATAAAATATTTTCTTGTTCTTGTTGTTTGGTTTTTTTTGTTTTGTTTTGTTTTTGTTTCCTAGGTGGAAATTAGTTTAACTGAGCAGAATTTAGCTCTGTGTGTTAGGGAGTAACTGACAGTAGGTATAAAGGTAACTTTATTAATTTTGTATGTGTGTGTGTATGGTAGAATGCTGTGTTTCTTCTACTACTGCAAAATGAATTATTCAAATTAATTTCTATAATGATAGCTTTACTCTGACCTTCTCTTCAAGGGAGAGGAATACCTTAACCATATTTCTGGAGCAGGCTAT